CATGTATTCACTCCTATTTGCGAAGGTTATTGCCACATTAGTGTCATATGAGAAGTCAAGAATTTGTTTTTCAGTGACCCCCCCCACCTTCCTTCTTCATTCCTGCCTTCTTGGGACAAAGTTTGTGACTTCTTTTACTTCTATACCCCTGGATGTGCTCCTTTTATGCTATATACTTTACTGATGATCTGCTCCTCTGCACCCCAGAGGGTGTGTGAACAACCTGATCAGTTACAGGGACTTGTCTTACTCATCTATAAATCCTAGGCTCCTAGCACAAGGCCTGGCACAAAGACAGTATCCAGTGATTGTTTGCTGAATGAGTATGAGTGAATGCTTTTGACTCAAACTTATTACTCTGTATGATTCAGGCCAAGTTTAAGCAGCAGTTTATTTGAATATACAGTAAACATTTGAAAGGGGTGGGTGGGGAATGGAAGAGGCTTCTCAGGGAAGTGTCCGAGGCAGGGCAGGGCAGGGGGCCCATGGGCAGTTGACCTGCTCACAGGGCAGTGGATGCCCGGAACTTCTGGGTCAAACAGAACACGGCAGCTGTGAGGGCCGTGCACTGACGGGCCAGGAGTTTCACACTCAGGTCATGGTAGCCTCTCTCGCAGGTCAATTTAGCGGCCTCTACAAACTGGTGGTAGGTGTACACCACATCCCTGAGGTTCCTGGCTGCTTCCCTGTGCCGGGCAGAGCAGCGGCTGCAGTCTGTGAACTGAAAGCACAGGCCGGCCAGCTGGACCAGGTGCTGGAAAGTGTCACGCACAGCCCCCTGCCTCTCTTCAGGGGACTGATCTATTTTGATAACGTGCTGACAGCTCGACAGCAGCTTCTGGGAGCCCATGCAGAGGCGGCTCCGGCTTTCAGAAAAGTGCCAGGTGCACTTCTCTGGGGGATGTTTGTTTCCAACCCCCCAGGAAACTTCTAAAATGTCTTGTAGCTCCAGCAAGCTTTCCATGAGTTGGATGAAGCCCTCAGGGGGGCTGGCAGGAGTGGCTTTCAGCTTTCTCAGAGCTCGGGAGCAGTACTCTGGCCAGACGTGGCTTTTCCTTGGCAGGGGCACTGTGCTGCAGCTATGGGCTCTGGCAGGCCTCCAGGGCAGAACCACCTGGCTTCCTGCAGAGGGCGGTGAGGTAAGGGGAGCTGCGGGGTGTGCTTCCGAGTCCCTGTCTTCTTCCTCTGTCTCAGGCTGCAGGCCACGAAAGCACGTGGCATAGGAGAACTGACAGCTGCACTGCTCCATCCCAATACTGGGGGCCACTGTCTCATTCATGCCCACAAAACCCAAAGATGTGGCCATCCTGAGACTGGCAGAAACTTCAGGATGGCTTTCTGGGGCAAAGCATAGAAAAGATTTCTCAGTAGGAAGGCAGATGCTAGAGCTGTCATCTTTGCTTTCTGAAAGTGAGCAATGGTCTGAAGCTTCTAAGTGAGGCTCCTCTTGTGTACACGGTAGTGCCTTTGGCAAGGAAGGCCCTGGAACCCACTGAGGGGCGTCCCTAGGGGCTTTATTTTCCCCTGTCACATGGTTAAGTGGCTCTGCCTTGACCCCCTCTGGAGGAAAGGCTGATGAAATGGTCGGCTCCTCAAGTAAGAAATCAGGGTCTAAATCCAACTCTGCCAATAGTTTTTGTTCTTGGCCCTGGAAGCCTTGGCTTGGGGTTTCTCCACTTTGTCCTTGAGGGTGTCTGGGGGTATGTGGTGAGGTCTGCTCAGCCCCTGTTCCGGGAACATCCAAGGAGAGGGAGGTTATTATTTCACTAGCTGGAGTACTAACATCAAGAGCCTGGGAAACAGCATTTGACACTTCACCCTTGAGGTCACCTGAATCCTTCCCAGATTCCTCCAGAAATAAGGAGGTGCCATTTTTGTTTGTAACTTCTCTGTCGCTTTCCAAAGATAGTTGTCCTTGTTGCTTTTCCTTTGTAGGCATAGAAACCATCTTCTCTTCTGAATTTATTCCACACTCATCACTTCTAGGCCCATCTCCAGGAGACAACAAAGGCTCTGTGTATTTGGAGGCAGTTTCTTGCATATGATTTATAAAAAAAGATCCCAATCCCATTTCCAACTGGACTCCTCCCAGCTCTAGTGTGTCTCCTTCAGAGATATTGTGTGGCCCTGGGCTTATGGCCAGGCAGACTTTGTCTGGGTTAGGGTTCCCACTGGAAAGGGAGAAGGTGCTGTCCTCACACTCTGTGGCAAGTTCTTTGGGGGCAATGCCATCTGGTTCTTGAAATGAAGGTGAGATTTGGGAAGGCTCTGCCTGAGCAGTATTTGGGCCAAATGAAGCTGGGTTGGAACAGTGAGGAGTGCTTGCTGAGAAACTCGCAACAGTGGTAGTCAAAGGGGCAATTCCAGGATTCTCTTTATGGCTAGAGTCAATCCGGAGGCGAATGGCAGAGATAGAAGACACTCGAGAGTCGATGACAGACTTGGTTTCCATGGTCTCGGGCTCCATCTCCATGACCCTGGAGGCTGGGTTTGTGCTCTTGGTCTCCCTCAGGGGAGCCAGCAGCCCCAGGGCCTTGGTCTCCAGGAGGCCAGGCTCACCTTGCACATCCTGCAGAGAGGACACAGTTGGGGAGGGTGCACTGAGGGCCATGTAGGGCTCCCTGTCATAGTAGCACACATCGTCCATGCTCTCCAGGGAGGCTGATGGCTCCAGGGGAAACGAGACCTGAGAGGTGTAGTCGGTCTGTAGGAAAGACCTCCTTTTCCTCAGGGTCTTGGCATACTTCTTCACCCCGCGCCTCCTGCTTGGCTCTCTTCCATCTGGCCCAGGATTCAGGCTGTTCTCAGAGCTGCAAGCACTGGCCTTACACGGAAAGCTCGTGGCATTGAGTTCTGCAGCAGATACAGCTCTGGGCCCTGGGAGTCGAGAAAGGGAAAAGTACATAAAAAGCAAAAAACAAAGAGGTTCATAGAGCTTGGACTCAGGCCTTGGGCTTGCCTGGGTTCAAATCCTGGCAGGGATATATAACCTTAGGCAAGTTAAATTTTGATCTCCTCAATTGCCTCACCTGAAAGAGGGGGATGATAATTGTGATAGATCTTTTTTAAAAAATTTGGTTGCCCAAGTTACATATTATTGTCTTACGATTATAGTCCCTCAACTTTCTCTCAGGGAATGACATCTCCCCAATGGTTATAGTCCACTGGAACTATTAACAAAGGTGCCTTGTCCACACCAGCCAAGTGATCAGATTTATGACCCACCCAGCCAGTCAGCTATAAATTCCTCAAAATTTCAAACTCTAACACATTGATTAAAAAATAATAAAAGTAGAGTCCATTCTTTCCAGCCACAATGTCCTGACAATGCTGATAAGAAATCCTGCTACCCAGACTCTTGGCCTGGTTGCTGTCCATCTCTGAACCCAGTTCTCAGGCTTGCCAGCAGTTCTATGAGCTATCTTATGTCCTTCTGACATTTCTTCCTTGTGCTTACATTAACCCAAGTCTGTTAGTACCAATGGTACCAATCAGTGCCGCCATGCAGGTTAAATGAATCAGTGTATTATTGTAAAGCACCTAGCACAGAAGGCCTGTGCCTAATCAGTGTTCACTGAAAGGGAGCTGCTGTTATTATTGCTATTCCTGTCATTTTATGTGTGAGGGTTCTGAAGGCAATTTCCTTTGACAAAAAGAGGCCACAGCCCTCAGTCACAGGCACGAGGGGTTTTGTGCATGCTGGGATGGGTCTTTATGAGAGGAGAAGCACTGTTGTAAAGAAGTCCTGGGAATCGGCCAGAAGGAATTGGGATGAGAGCCCAGCACTGGAGAATCAGGGAGCTAGAATACTCAGACCAGTCATTCCCCACCTGGCTGCACGCTAACAGAGATCTTATCAAATCCTAGGCTGCTCCCCAGACCTCCTAAATCAGAATCTCTGAGGTGAGGACTGAGGAATCTATAGTTTTTAAACAAGGCCCCTCAGGCGATTCTGATGCCCAGCCATGTTTGGGAGCTGCTGCCCCAGGCTACCAATAGCCACTGACCACAGAAGTTTCTGAGGCCCAAAGGAGGGGCTCCTGCAGTGAGGCGGGGGCCAGACCAGAACCCGGGCTCAGGAATCCCAGTTTTAGGCTCTCTTCTCAACACCACACTGGTTCCCTGTGAGAAACAGACGGTCCAGTGTGAACCTTATGTCCCCAACTAGACTCCTGTAAAAGGGCCCTGCCTAATGGTCTCTGTCATGTCCCCATCCTACCTCCAGCACAATGGCTGGCCTGGCAGGGCAGGCTGCGGGCACAGAAAGCTGTTGGCTGGGTTCTTTGGGAAGCACTGCACAGTCTGGCGTGGTTTCTCCTTTCCCTAGCAGCACAGGCAATCACTGAACTCGGTAGACGGCGGAGAGTTCATTCATTCATTTAGCAACAATTGCCAGACACTGTGTGCTGGGGACACACAGTTCCTGCACTCAGAGTTCTCAGGCTAGTGATGGAGAAAAACATCAACACGAAATCATACAAATAAATATATAATTACAGGCAATGCTAAGTGCCAGGAAAGAAAAGCCATAGGGTGCTTTAAGAAGGTGTGACAGAGACAGAGAGACCTGCCCTGGCCTGGGAAGTCTGGGAAATATTCCCTGAGAAAGTGAGCTTCCAGCTGGGGGCCTGATGGGTGGGCACTGGCAGCCAAGGATCAGGGCGAGGCATGTTCGGGGCAGAGAGAGCAGCATGTGCGAAGGCTGGAGGTGGGAAAGAAGTTGGCACTTGTAAGCTGGGCGCAGTGGTGTGCAACTGGAGTCCCAGCTGCTGGGGAGGCTGAGGTGGGAAGATCGCTTGAGCCCAGCAGTAGAGTTCAAATCCATCTGGGGAAAAATAGCAAGACTCTGCTTCCAAAAAAAATAAATAAAAAACAGAAGTTGGCACTTGTGAAAAGTGGCAAGGAGGTCTGTGTGGCATGTGGCAGGAATGCAGAGAGAGGACTCAGGAGGAAAGGGAGAGACAGGCAGAGGCCGTGTCACAGAGGGCCTCAAAGGGTCTCACAGGGCTCACGAAGGAGCTGGCCTTTCTCCCCAGAGCAGTGAGAAACACTGGAGGGCAGGGAGTAGGAGCTCAGAAAGCAACAGGATATCTCTGTGCTATTTTCCTTCAGAATGCGTGTGAGTATGTGTGTGTGTGAGAGTGTATAGGCAAACGCATGTGCCCTTCAAGGATCTCAGATCAGCTTTGGAAATGATTTCATGTGGAAAGACACTCCACACTCTTTCTGGAGAAATGTATGAGGAACTTGATAGGAACATAGCCAACAGATGTCCTACCTTTTTTTTTTTTTTTTTGAGACAGAGTCTTGCTCTGTCACCCCGGCTAGACTGTAGTGGCATCATAGCTCACTGTAACCTCAAACTCCTGGACTCAAGTGATCCTCCTGTCTCAGCCTCCCAAGTAGCTGGGACTACAGGCATGCACCACCATGCCAGGCTAATTTTTCTATTTCTAATAGAGATGGGGTCTCATTCTTGCTCAGGCTGGTCTTGAACTCCTGAGCTCAAGCAATCCTCCTGCCTCGACCTCTCCAAGTGCTAGGATTACACATGTGAGCCACTGTGCCTGGCCCCCTACCTTCTGATGTCAGGGTCCCTTGGCCCCCGAAAGGCCTTGTAGGGCCATTGATGGCCTGTCAGTCAGGTTCTTCTTGCTTCAAGCCCTCATTTAATGTTAGCTTCAGGGTCAATAATGACATAGTTGCTTTCTGCTATTGTGCACTCCTATCAAACCTTTTTCTTTTTTTGTAAATTCTGTCTATCCCACAAGGCAGCCCATTTGCTGCCTCCTCTGGGAAGCCTTCCCGGATTCCCATTGTTGACTGAATCACTCCAATCTCTGCTTGCCCACAGTTCTCTGAACCCCCCTTGTAGCCCTGATTTGAAGCCATGACACTTGGAGTTTGTCTACAGAATCCAGGTCTGCCTCCTCAAAAGTGGACAAGGCCCTGTTTTACTCTTGTGCCTTTCTCTCAAGCTTGGTGCTTGGCCCTGGGCCCTGGCCCCTGGGAGTACTCAGGAGCTGCCTGCTGAGTCTGCAGACCTGCTGGGGAGAGCTCACCTGAGAGGGTGTCTGGGGAGGGTGTGAGCTTATCAGCTGCGTCATAGTATTCCTCATCCGAGCTGCCATCCTCAAAGGCCAGCGGCGGGTGCAGGGCCAGGCCTTCCAGTGTGGAGCTGGGCTGGGCCTCAGGCCAGCCCTGCTGACCACAGGCTGGTGGGGCTCCCCACTGCCGGGACGCTGTGCTCTCTGAACTATCGCTCAGGTGGCTGGCCAGGGAGAGGCTGGAGCACAGGCTGTAGTAGTCGGTCCGGCTGCCTTCATACAGCCTGGGGTCCAGCCTGACTGTGCTCAGTTCTGGTCCCCAGCTGAATGTCTCAGGAGCGGGACTCTCAGAAAACTCTGTCTTCTGGCACTGAGGGTTGGCTCTCTGGGCCAGATCCAGGAGACAGAGGAAGCCGCTGGTTTCAATCCTGCTCCTCTCCTCTTGGCTGTTAGAGTCGGTTCTCTCCGGGAGGCCTGGGAAGCCGAAGTGGAAGAAGGTGGATCTACTAGAGGAGCAGGCATCCAGGTCGTCTTCTTCCAGGGCATCCATGGACTCACTTGAGCCGCTGGTCCTAGAGCCTCGGCTCTCAGTGTTGGCCGAGTTGGATGCCTCGGACTCGGCACTGTCTGTAATGCTGCTGGCCCCACACGTGCTTGGGTCTCTCCTGGCCACCTCAGGTGTGGGGCTCTTCCCAGGAGGCTGCTCCTCTTTAACGGGTGGTCTGCAGGTGCCCAGCTTCACCAGGTGTCTGTCAGAGAGAGACTCTAGTATGCAGTCCACTTCAGAGGACTCCTCTGAATCGCTGCAAGCCCTGGATTCATAGCCTGCAACACAGGGGACACCAAGGATTACAAAACAGCAGGACTGGCAGATGGCTGTGTGTCCTTCTGCCTCCTCTTCCTCGCCAGATATGAAAACTGAGGACCAGAAGGGCGACTGGTGCAAGATCACCCTAGACTAACACAGAATCTGAGGGATGCCAAATCCCATGTTATCCCTGTACCATCAGACCACTTGTCCCACATCTGCATGAGCCACCTAAAGGAGACAGGATTAGTTTCCACCCCTACTTAGAAAGAGATCTATCTGTTCATGGAAACATGGTGGGGATTTAATTGGATCTCACTTTGCCTTGGGCAGCATCACCCAGGTTTGCTAAGTCCCTCACCAAATCTCAGCTCTGTCCTGTCTGGGTTTCAAAATCTGATGGGGAATCATATTTTAAAAAAAATAAAACAGATCTTCCCCTACCCCCGAGTACTGAGTCAAATCTCTAGGAAGTGGGGCCTAAGAATCTGTATTTTTTAGCAACTTTATGGGGATTCTGAGACTGCTGGGCAGGCATCATGCTGAAGTCTGGCCTTAAAGATCCACTGTGCTATGGGCCTCTCAGCACAGTGAAAACTCATCTAGCTACAAGTACTCCGGAAGAATTCATGATGGGAAAGTGAAAGACATTGAGACAATGCCCCTCACAGGATGGGTCTGACCCTCCTCGGCAGCCCTGTTCCCTCACAGGATGGCCATGACCCTCCTCGG